ATGTATCACAAACATTTTAGTGAGATAGGGCTGAGAAGGCAGAAACTAAATTGTTTCTGAAACAAGAGCATTGTAAGAGTATCTGAATGGAAACCACAGATGAAATTACCCAGAAACACACAAAGCAACTTGAGTCTATTTACAGCTAGAAACAATGGTGTTCACAATTTTATCTCTGTGAACATTTGCTGAATTACAAAATAAGACAGCTGTAGTGCACTGGCCTGTAAGACAATGGATACAGAGAAGGCAGGCAGGGTTAGAAACAATCAATGCAATTAAAGGGAGGTCAAAAATTTGTGTCAAAAAAAAGGAAACAATAAGAATTTGCCTAAAAATAGTGAGAACCTCCTATTAGTAGCCGTGTCCACTATATAATGCAACGGATTATATCCTACAATCAAAGTCAAAGGAAAATTCATAACTGGGAATGACTTGAGTAATAGCAGATAGAAACATCTGAGAAAATATGAAAGAAATGGAAATATAAATAGCACAGGAACCAGAGATGTATTGGATTACTGCTTTAAGGGACTATGATAGATTCTTGTCTATTTAACATCTGCTCCCAAATCATACTGAGTTCACTCCACTCCTTTATTCATCCTGACATTAATAGTGCTTCTCAGTGTTATCTCTTTTTGTATTGCCTGGTTCTGTACATTTCTATGAAAAGTTAATAGGTTATCCTTTACCTCAAAAAAAAAAAAAACCATTTGAGTTGGAGTGTTCAACTGGTTTAAAACCAAATAAGCATGCACATCCAAAGACTTAGCTTATAACGAATCATTCCGATTATGATCCTGAACACAATACTGTTAGATATCTACCAGAATATTCAGTTTTTGAAGGTATACGTGGACATAAAAAGCAGTAAACCCCACACGTTATATTGTTCTAATGCCAGTGAATAATTCAGTGTAGTACTCAGTAATCTTTAGTCAATGAATCATAAATGCTGAGAAAGAAATGAATTTTAAAATTCTGAGTATTTGTACCTGTAGGACTCTTTTTCCTTTTATTATCAATGAGTGGTCAAAAAGTTTAGGGGATTTTTTTTTTTTTTTTTTTTTTTTACAAATTTCACAAAGCAAAAATTTAGCATTATTTTTATTGAATTATGCAGTAGCACGGATTTAGAATGATAGGACTGAGGACTGTCTGACTAATCTTAAGCAACTCACTTAATCCCTCTAAAGTATGACATTTATATGTGAAATGGAGATATATTTGCATAATGTAGGTTGCAGCTTTGTTATGAGAGTAGAATAAGTTCATATTGTAAAAATGTTAACAAATCAGAAAGTACACCATAAGAACATGTGAAGAAAAGATACAAAACTTTTTGGAGTCATTCCTGCAGCAAATATTTATCGAGAACTGTTCTATGTTGTATAATATTCTTAGACTTGATAAACTAATGAACAAAATAGATCAAAATCTCTACCCTCAAAGATCTTAGGTTCTGGAGGATGAAAGTAACAATAAGCAAGTAAGTAAAACACATAGTATGTCAGATGGCATTAGCCTCTATTTTTGAAACAGGGAAAGGAGATAAGAGACACTGAGGTTAGGGATGTTTGCAAATTTAAATTTGGTGAAAGAGAAAGGGTGAAATGATGACATTTCACCACAGATGGAAAAAGATAAAGAATGAGTCATGCTGATATCTGATGGAAGAAAATCTCGGGCAAAGGAAATAGAAAATGCAAATGCCTCGATTTGGGAACGTGCCTAGTGTGTTGAGTAAGAGCAGGAAGGCAGTGTTGCTGCACCAGAACCGTCGGGGAACTCATGTTGGCTACATAAGTCCTTGGAAGCTCCTGTAAAGATTTGTATTTTCCCTCCGAGATGAATGCTAGCAGAGGGTATTTAGGCAGAGGAGAGATATAATCTTTTTATATTTTGAGGGATCTCCCTGACAGTTGTGCTGATGAGACAAAGGTGGAAATAAGAAGATCTCTTAGGATCTATTGCAAAAACAAAAAGGAGAGATGGTGGTGGCTTAGATCAGGAAAACTATATTCCTGGTGATGGAAAGTGGTTTTAAAAATAGGATCAAGTGGATATCTTGGTGGATTGCATGTGACCTTTGAAGAAAAGGTAAGAGTCATAGATAGCATCATTGGATGAAGTAATAAGAAGACTGAGTAGCCATTTACTGAAAGGGATAAAATTGAAAAGATTAGGCTTAAGAATTCAGATTTGAATACATAAATTGGAAGGGGCTGAAAAGATATGTAAGAGGAAATATTGAGTGCACAATTAAGAGATATGTCCTGGCAGTTCTGGGAATGCACCAGGCTACAGCTGTATACGTGAGCTACCAGTTTAGAGAAAGCATCTTAAAGCAATTAGATTGATGTGGTCACCAGGAGAGCCAGCACAGATAAAGGAAAACAATCAGAAATTCTTGGCCTCAACACTGTGGAACTTGAGCATTTAGAAGAGATGAGGAGAAACCTGCAAGACCCTATCAGTAGGAGAAAAATAGAAGACTGTGATGTCCTGGAAGCTGAGTGGAAAACAGCCTTTCAAGGGGGGCTGAGAGGTACTAGTTACATGCATCATGATGATAAATCAAGTCGCAAGGAGAAAAATTAATTATTGGATTTAGCAACATAGGTGTTAGGGTGACAATGAAAAGAACAGTTTGGCAGAGAAAGAGGAAAATTAATTGGAATGCAATCGAGAAAGGAGAAGAGTCAACTCTTTCATGGAGTTTTGTTGTAGGGATTGGGCAACACAGATAGGACAAAGGTTGGAGGAAATGGAGTTTGTGTTTGCTTATCTGTTTTTGAGACGAAAGATGTTGCAGTATGCTTTTAGGGTGTTTGCAATAATCCAGCAGGGAAGGAAAATTCAACGAGACAGGGTGAGTTGCTGAAGTAATGGTCTTGCTCAGGGAACACATTAAAGACCCTTACTACAGTGACAAGAGGATTGGCCTAAGATACAGATGGTCAGACGACAGAGCACAAGGAAACACTCCTGATGCACTCTTTTCTCAGTGAAATAAAAATCACAGCCACAAACTTCCATAGCTCTTGCTAGTTTAGGCACAATTCAAAGGGCTGAATTTTTTTTTTTTTTTTTTGAGAAGGAGTTTAACTCTTACTGCTAAGATCATGCAATGGCATGATCTTGGCTCATGGCAACCTCCACCTCCCGGGTTCAAGTGATTCTCCTGCCTCAGCCTCCTGAGTAGCTGGAATTACAGACATGTGCCACCATGCCCAGCTAATTTTTGTATTTTTAGTAGAGATGAGGTTTCACCATGTTGGTCAGGATGGTCTTGACCTCTTGACCTTGTGATCTGCCCAACTCCACCTCCCAAAGTGCTGGGATTACAGGTATGAGCCACCACTCCCAGCCCTAGTCATTTAAAAGTATGTGGTATCTCCTCCCACCCTCTTCCCCCTGCCCAGGCCATGTGAAGTGCTGGTTCCACCTTCGCCTTTTGCTATGATTATAAGTTTCCTGAGGCCTCCCCAGAAGCCCAGCATATGTCAGCATTATGATTCCTATATAGCCTGCAGAACCATAAGCCAATTAAACGTCTTTTCTTTATAAATTACCCAGTCTCAAATATTTCTTTCTAGCAGTGCAAGAACTAACACAACCCTCTTCTTTCATCTCACAACGTTCAGTTCTCAGGCCTTCTGTGGATCAGGAGCCACATAACTGGGGGCTGGAGATAACTTGAAACCTCTGCAGGGGGCTGGCTTGCAATAAAATTGTTAAGGAGTTTTGACTCCTAGTTCCAACACTTCTTAGAAACGTTATGCATGAATTATATCCCTCTAGCAAGTAGGATTTGGCTGTCTGCCTCTCCAACTCCTAAGAGAAGCTCTTGCTTGGAGCCGGCTTATTCACACCCTGGTTAGGTTTTCAAGCCCCATTGAGAAGGGTGCACAGTTACTATACTCATGTTGGGTCTGGAAACAGTATAGCAGTGATAGATTCATTAATATCTGGAAATACAGTGCCAGAAGCCAAGTGTGTCATAATAATGATAACAGAAAAAAAAACCAACTGTAAATTAACATTCTGGCGACTCTAAAAGTGATGCTGGAAAAAGAAGATTTGTATTATAACTGAAAAAAAAGTAGAAAAGAGTAAAAGCAAAAGCATAAAATACTTCTTAAACTGTGACTGATCTGAATTGGAGATAGGCTGCTTACTCAATTTTACACTTCACCCTTCTTCATAGAGTTGAAGATTAGTTTATTGAATTATTTGTGGGACTACAGAGCCATTTATAGTCATCAGCTGACTCAAATGAATCAAATATTCATATGGCAGTAAAGCTATCTAGTAGATTTGGTTATATTCACTCAATTCAAAACTCACTTCTCATTATTTATTCTTCCACAAATACTTTCTAATCACTCAACTCTGTTGAAGATTTAAAGGCATGTATGCATTACTTAATTCTCTATGTTGTATTAGAAATAACAGTAACACAAGTTTAACAAGTAGATAATATTTTGAAACTTGTTTCCTACCAAAAAGCACGATAGTCAAGAGAGGAAGTGTGAGGGAGTCTGAGTCTGAAATCCAGCTCTGACACTCACGGGCTATATTACCTCAAGCAACTCACTTGTGCCTCAGTTTCCTGAACTGAAAAATGGGAAATACAATAGTGCCTACTTCAAAGAAGTATTAAGGATGGAATAAAGTAATATACATGAAGTATTTACAATACTGCCTGCCTGTGATGGTTAATATGAGTGTCAACTTGATTGGAATGAAGGATGCAAAGTATTGTTCCTAGGTGTGTCTGTGAGGGTGTTACCAAAGGAGATTAACATTTGAGTCAGTGGACTGGGAGAGACAGACCCACCCTCAATCTGGGTGTGCACCTCTAATGAGCTGCCACTGAGGCTAGAATAAAGCAGACAGAAACTGGAAGGACTTGACTTGCTGAGTCTTCCGGCCTCCATCTTTCTCCTCTGCTGGATGCTTCCTGCCCTTGAAGATCAGACTTCAAGCTCTTCAGCTGTTGGGCTGTTAGACCTACACCAGTGGTTTGCCAGGGGCTCTCAGGCCTTTGGTCACAGACTGAAGGCTGCACTGTCAGCTTCTCTACTTTTGAGGTTTTAGGAGTTGGACTGGCTTCCTTGCTCCTCAGCTTGCAGATGGCCTATCACGGGACTTCGCCTTGTGATCCTGTGAGTCAATTCTCCTAATAAGCTCCCCTTCATATATACATCTCTCATATTAGTTCTGTTCCTCTAGAGAACTGACTCATACACTGCTCATAATAGATACTTAATAAGAGCTAGCTGTTGTTTTTATAATTATTACTATGGCTTGGTTATTACTATGTGATTATGCATCCTTGATGCCTACCACATTCTCTTGTGTTTGATGGCCCTGAATCAATGTGAGAGAGAACCCTAGTGGTGGAAAGGTGCCAGCCTCATCTAGATCACACAGAACCACCAGTGTAACAGGGTGCCTTGGCTTCTGTGGGAGGTATACATCAGGATTTACAGACAAACTGCGTCTCTTTAGGGCAAGTCATCAACTGACACAGTACCAGCTGTGTGCTTTGGAGGTATCTGAACCCCCTCTTCACAACATCCTATGAAAAAAGCATGTTGGAGGAGCGTGCAGAGAGAGGGGACTAAGGGACACTAAAGAGACTGTCAAAAGTCAGTGGATAAACTCTTTTTCAAGAAAAATGCCATTTGGTGATTCTTATGTCAAAATATAGAATCATTATCAGTAATATTGTTTTATGATTATTTTCTCGTAAAATGTAGCATGACTATAGAAAAGTGAACTAAACATATTCATGTTTATACATATATGTATATTTTAACAAATGAAATGACTAAGCATCTCACTGCCACTCAGGTGCAGAAATACAACATTGCCAGTGCCCCGGAAGAATCCTTACCAGGCACAGGGAAGTCACTGCCCTCTCAGGCAATTAGATATGCACTCCTTTTTTATTTTATTTTATTTTTTTTTGAGACGGAATCTTGCTCTGTTGCGAGGCTGAAGTGCAGTGGCGCGATCTCGGCTCACTGTAACCTCCGCCTCCTGAGTTCAAAGGATCCTCCTGCCTCAAACTCCTGAGTAGTTGTAACTACAGAGCACACCATCATGCCCAGTTAATTTTTGTAATTTTGGTAGAGATGGGGCTTGGGGTTTCACCATGTTGGACAGGATTGTCTCCATCTCTTGATATCGTAATCCACCCGCCTCAGTCTTTGTTTTGCCTTATTTTGAACTTTATATACAATGTATTTTCTTTTGTGTCTTGATTCTCTTGTTCAACTTATGTTTTTGTTTCTTTCCAAGTTGATGGGTTGACATTTTTTTGTATTTTTAGAGAAGGAGTGTACAAGCCTGAAATGAAATGTATCATACATTCACCATACTGGCACATATATGAGATTTTCTCTATAAATATAGGGATGTATTTATTTTTTCACATTTTTCCATATTTGACTTCATTAGATAATGTCTGTTTCCTGATGTAAAAAAAAATACAGCAACAGTGTATAGTTTCAGTAGTCCACATCTTCAGTAGCATAATGTGTTTTAGACTTTGTAAATATACATGGTCCTTTGAGATATTCATGGTATTTTGGGGCGGTATTATGGTATTAAATTACATTGGTTAATCACATGTTACCAACCTTTCTTCAGATTGCCTTTCTGGCTAAATTCTCAAGCAGTTATTTTGCTCAATATTTTTGTTATGCTTCTTGACTTTTCTTCATTAATTGATTTAAATTAAATCAATTAATTTGATTTGTAGGAGTTCTCTGTAGGATTTGGAAACTAGGTAAATTAGGTATTGTGGATACCATCTTGCACTCAGTAGCTCATCTTTATGTTCCATTCATCTTGTCTTTTGATGAAGAGTTCTTGAATATAATGTAGTTGAATTAATCACTCTATTACTTTAGGGTTCATTCTCTTTGTGCCTTGCATTAAGAAATCCACAATGTCATGAAGCATTTTTCAATATTAATTTCTAAAAGATTATAAACAATTTCCAACACAGAGCAGATTTGAAGTCTCTGCTATACAGTGAGCACCTGTATAGCTTCCATCTTTATTTTACCTTACCATATTACTATATGCCAATTTATTTTTCTATCAATTATTATTCTTTTTGATACATTTCAAAGTACATTGCAGATAGCAGACCTCCCCATAGATCAGCATACATCTTCCCAGAGTCCAATATTTGTTTAGATTTTTCTCTAGCTATATATCTACTTAAATGACATGAACACATCTAATGTGTACATTTATTAAATTCTGAAAAGCATATACACCTCTGAAACCCAAACCTCTATACAAATATAAAATATTACTATGAACTCAGAAAGTAACCTCATGCTCCTTCTGAGCCTATCCTTACACCCACACTTCCAAAAAAATTACTGTTCTGATATCTGTCACCATAAATTAGTTTTGCCTGTTTTACAACTTTACATAAATGAAACTGTTCAGTATGAATATGTACTATTCAGCAAATATTTTTAAAGATTTTATAATCTTCATTTACATTTTATGTGTATTTGTAGTTTGTTCCTTTATATTGTTAATAGCATGCTGTTGTATGAATATGCCACAGTTTACTTTTTCTGACACTAATCAAGCTTTTGCATGGATCTAAATTGCATCTGGTATCATTTTCTTACTGCCTAAAGAACTTTTCTTAACATTTCTTGTAGTACAGATCTACTGGCAATGGAGTCTCTCGCCTTTATTTCACCTTCATGTTTAAAAAATATTCATTCTGGGTATAGATTTCTAGTTTAACAATCTTTACTTTTTTCTGGAACTTCAAATATTCCATTTCGGTTTTTCTCTGGGTTGAATAGTTTCTGGTAAAAAGTCAGGTTATAATTGCTATTTTCACTCTTCTATATGTAATTAGCCTTTTTTTTCTGACTATGATATCTTTATCACATATTTCAAACAATAGTTTATGTGACTTGTGGTTTTCTTTATATTTATTCATCTTTGGCTTTATTGCTATTTTCTGATCTGTGGATTTCAGTTTTCAGCAAATTTTCAAAATTTTGGCCACTAATTTTTCAAATGTTTTTTGGTACTACCTCTTCACTCTGGAACTCCAATTATGAGCATACTTCCCTTGTCCTCTTACCACACACTTTAACATTCTCCAATTTTATATTCTTCATAATTTCTTCTGACATCTGTCATTTCTCTTATCAACACATTCTAGTCAGCTGTCAATCTTTCTACTATTTAATTTTGGATTGACTGAAACTTTTATTTTCGTTTCTAGACATTTTATTTTTTCAAATATGCCTAGTCATCTTATAAAGTTCTATTGCTACAAATATACTCAAGCTTATATTTTTTCCTCTATGCATAATAAACTAGTTGTTATGCAATCTATTCCAAGAAATAGATTTATTTATATTGGTTAATCACATGTTACCAACCATTCTTCAGATTGCCTTTTTGGTTAAATTCCCAAGCAGCTATTTTGCTGATATTTTTGTTATGCTTCTTGACTTTTCTTCATTAACTGATTTAAATTAAATCAATTTAAACCAGAGTCCTTATAAGTCTAGGTTTTCTTTTTATTGCTTCAACAGGTTTTCCCTCTCTGTGCCTCCTTAATTTCTCAATTTGAGTTTATGTTTACTTTTCTCTTCATATTGTTCTTTAAAATTATATATGTGGGTATTTACCAATATCTAGGATAATGGGTTCTGCTTTTACAGGAGATTTGACCTTCCTTCATTCAGGATCTTGGAGTCCGTACTAGTCTATACCCACTTAAAGCAAGTTTACAGGGTGTCAAGTCCATGGATCATGGAGAGGTAGGGTGCTCAAGAGGTATAAATTCATATTGGAATTGAATCTTTGCCACAACTACTGAGTTGGGTTATTTCCTTTGTCTTATTTTACTCTGCTCCTTTAAAATCAAATTATAGTGACTGTCATTGATGTTCTGATCACATCCCGTCAGAACTCCTCATTTCCATTTCTGAAGTGCTTCTTACTGCATGTCCCCTGATATTCCTGGGATCATGGAGGAGTCCTGACGTATTTTCCAGGCAGGCTGGTGATGCTGGGGACATGACAGTGGACAGGCCTGACAACTCCCAATTGATGATGAATGGAAATTGGTAGTGAAAAATAGTCAAATTTCATTGTCCCTCTGAGGCAGGTTCTGTGCCATCTCACAGGGCTCTCCAGCGGGATTGAGCTGCAGCTTCTCTGAGCACTAATCAGTTGCCTAATACAATCTGTTCATCTTCCTCCCTTTCTTAGCTTATATCCACATTCTCTGGAATTGCTTATTGTCAGTTTGGTTTCCCAGGAAACAAAGTCCAAGTCTCTGAGATTTTATATAAAAGAGGTTTATTGAAGGATCTGTAAAGGCAGATTAAACAGAATTGAGGAGACAGAAAAACTAAACCACAATGCAGTTTCAGCAGAAGCCTCAACTGACCCCACTTCAGGGTCAGGGAGCTTCAGGATAGGAATGACCTTCAGAGATTTCTCACCTTCAGACAAAAAGGCCAGGTCTGTAGATACCCTGCACAAACGAGTCAATGGATATGGCTGATAACAGGGAAAGGGTGACCATGGATAAGGAGCTCTCTTCAGCAGAGGGCAACTTCTGGAGAGGTATTCACCTGACAGCCAGCTGCAACCCACACTCTCACAGATGTAGGGGAATGAGTGTGCCTTTCATGAAGGCGAAATATAAGCTGCAAAATACAGCATCCACCAAGGCTGCCAATAAACTCTTTGTACTCAAATCTGCCTCTGTGATGGTTAATTTTTTATGTCAACTTTATTGGGCCATGCGGTGCTCATATTAAACATTGTTTATGAGTGAGTCCGTGAAGGTGTTTCTGGGTAAGATTACCATTTGAAGCAGTGGGCAGTAAAGTAAATCACCCTACCCGATGTTGAGGACTTAAATAGGACAAAAGTCAGAAATAGAAGAAATCTGTCCCTTTTTGTCCCTGCCTCCCTGCTTGAGCTGGGA